CCCCCAAAAAAAACAATCTCGGAAGATGATAAGACAGTCTTAATGCTGTTTTATCTGTATGTCTTTAAATAACAAATCACCCTTTACCACGCCTTCTGCTGCTCAATCTGGTAAGTACAGTTGTTTTGTTCTAGTACTTAACGCTGAAACTTTTTGTTATATCTATATATTTTGAACATGAGATAGTTTTTCGAGGAATGAATTCCAACATGCCATTGAAGTTTTATGGGGGTAAATAAGTTTCAGTTTCCTTCGTGTTGATATAAGTCGGTTTCCAGGAACGCATTCCGCTCGTAAATCGAGGGATTACAATATTAATAGACTCACTCACACAGTAAGCAGTCACAAGTTCAAGTACGTTTATTGAGACAATAAAATCTTGAAGGGATAGAGTAGCTTAGGCTATTTTTATCCCCTCCCCTAGTAGGCAGTCGTAATGGCTGTGTGCTTTCTCCTGATAATTACCTTTCCTTCCTCTAGTAAATTTGACTTGACATATTAATTTCCTTAGTAAACAGCGTGCAAATGAAAATCCATAGAAACGTGACTTCATATATTTTAAAATAACAGGATCACGATATACAGCAGCAGCAACTGTGAGCAAAATATTTCCTTCAAGATGAATTACAACTTTCTCAAGCACGGAAATCAGAAATCATCTTTACACAAATCAACTTATTTTACAGCGATGTATATACATAAACATTGCCAATTTAAATTGCACACATAAACACTCATAGCTATTGTAACGCTCTCGTTGCCATAAGTAACAGTGAGACATTGCTGCAGTCCCAGGTAACACCCACACCATGCTCTAATATATATATATATATATATATATATATATATATATATATATATATATATATATATATATATATATATATACAAATATATTTAATATATATATATATTTGCTTTATATATATATATACATAGATATATAATATATATATATATATATTATATATCTATGTATATATATATATATATACAAATATATTTAATATATATATATATATATATATATATATATATATATATATATATATATATATATATATATATATATATATATATATACAAATATATTTAATATATATATATTTGCTTTATATATATATATACATAGATATATAATATATATATATATATATATATATCTATGTATATATATATATATATACAAATATATTTAATATATATATATATATATATATATATATATATATATATATATATATATATATATATATATATATATATATATATATATATATATATATATATATATATATATATTTGCTTTATATATATATATACATAGATATATAATATTTATATATATTATATATCTATGTATATATATATATATATATATATATATATATATATATATATATATATATATATATATATATATATATATATATATATATATATAATATGAGCAATAGGGAGCTGTGTGATAGGGGTTAACAGCAGCGCTGCCAGCCGCGGTTGACACACCGCTGCCAGACGCCACAACCACGCGGTGCTGCCACCTGCCGGGAACAACCATCCAGCGCTCTCAGCTATACCTAACAAGACACATCACTGCCGGCTGTAACGAGCGACGCGGCGTTGCCAGTTATGAATAACAATAATACAGTTTCGCTATAGATATTAGGGGAAATAAATAACACTTTGCTACCGGTTAAGGAAAACAACAACAACAGAACGCTGCCAGCCGTATGATAACACGGAGGCGCTCTCAACTGTGTTGACGGAAACCACAGCGAAGCCCCCAGTCCCCCCCCCCCCCCGACCCTGGGGCCAGATTCACGAAACAGTTACGCAAGTACTTACGAACGTCTACATCTTTCCTCCATCTTTGACGGCTTTGGTTACATTTATTAACCAGTTTACAAGCATGAAAACTTCCCAATCAATTGTTGTTATTTTTATAACAGCTTCCTGGTGCTTCGGAGGTCATTAACTGTTTAATAATTGTAAATAAAGCCCAAAATGATCGAGAAAAGATGTACAGGTTCGTAAGTGCTTGCGTAACACCTTCGTGAATCTGGCCCCTGATTGCTGCTGCCGTGTTGAGTGCTAACATGGCCACAACCACCTAATCACCCTACACTTGTCTCAACGTAAGGCTATTATAGTGAAGCCTATAACATTGACAAGAGTAAATATTTATAATTTTAAATCATCATTGGTTAACTCAAGTCAGAGGGAGATACTGTATTGGTATTACAATGTTCCTCACAGTTGCTACTCAACCGCGGTATTGAGCACTTGCGTAAAGTAACCTGAAGCATTATTTGAACTCTTACTATTTTGATTTAATGATCATCTGTAGTTCTGCTTCACTGTTTTTTTCTTGTATTTCACAGTTCATGACACACAGGTGAACAAAAAGCAGTATTACTTGTCATGACTCGTGGTATAGTCATTACATTTATGATATATGCTCGGAAATAATACGTTATTCATTCACAACAAATAGTTTAGCTCAATCAGTGATTGTCAGCCTTGCTGAATAACAAATTATACCAACAACAAACTATTTTGTTTTTCAACAATGTCAAACTTCAAGTCTCTGTACTCTCATAAACCCAATGTACATTCTCTTATATAAATAAATAAATTTCATTTGAAAATTCAAATCTAAAGTAATTAAATAAAATGAATCAAATTGAAATGTTGTTTATAACAAGTTGAGACTTAAGAGCTACGAGTGCCTCAAGGTATTTATGAGCACCCAAATGTTAGACACTTGAGTGCCTAGGCAGGTTAATTAAAGATATTCCCTGCACAACGATAAGAGACAGAAGCAGCATCATTGAGGGGGTGGTGAAGAGGGGGGGACCTGGAGCTAGGCTCTGATGCCAGTCTGACCAAACACTAACTCTACAACAAACTCACATTCTTTGGTTTATTTACATTAATATACTTATCTCTACTGGCAACCCTTAGCGAGAAAAAAGTGTATTAATTTGTATAGTTATTCGATTTATAAATAGTGGTAGCCTATCATATATACAAAAACCCTAAATACATAAAATTGTTCGTAGTTTCTGAATATTTATTAATACACACCGTAAGTATAATTGCATTAAACATTACGTGAAGTAGTCCAAGTATAAATGTGCCGTATTTCGTGTATAAATGCATTGTTCAAGATCTGGTAATTACTGGTCGCGTCGTGCAATATATTTTTCTATTTCACGCACCACAATGAGATCAGGAGAAACAAATCGATGGCGAATATATTTTGCGGAAAGGTCGACAAAAGTATTTTCTGTGCGGAAAATTGACGGAGTACATATTCCATTGTAAAATGTATCTTCAGAAAGGCGAGAGGGGACATGTCAACAGGAATAATTTATATGCGGAAATAAGGCTGCACAGTTTCGATGGCAATTGTAATTTTTCTATACGTCATACCATACCAACAATAAGCATACCAGAGGTGGATAACGAGAAGCACGTCATCAAGAACGATGCCTTGTATGGCTAGCTTGAATGTGCATTCCACTCGTCTCTTTCTAACTTCTGCTTCATTACGTTCATCACTGAGGGCTGTGGCATCACACACTACAGCTCGTCTCACTATATCATAGTCGAGTTATGGTGCCAGTAATGCACAGTGGACTATGGATGTGCAACATACTGAACCTCCAGTGTATGATACGGCATTCAGTGGTGGTTGTGGCAGCATTCAATGCAGCAGACAGGTGAGGTACTGGTGCTATCTTGTGGAGCAGGGTTAGAGCATGGCCCAGCTGCCCCCTGCTTGATACACAACTATCATCAACATGGAGCCGCTAACTGAGAGTCCAGTGGCAGGATTCATCAAGCATTTACGCATCCACTTACGAAACCGGTATATCTTTCAACATTTATGGCGGTTTCGTTTGCTGTCATCGCACATATTACGAGCCTCGAAACATCAAAATTCAAGTTTTTATTGTTAGAAACAATCTCGCAGTGCTTTGGGCCTCATAAACTGTTTAGTAAATGTAAACAAAGGCGCAAATATTGTTGAATGATCTACAGGTTTCGTAAATGAATGTGTAGATGCTTGATGAATCCTGATCCAAGGCTTCACGAGGAAGAGTAGTTGATACCCACCATAAAGACCACAGAAAAATACACACGAAAATGTTTCCAGACGATCTCACACATATGCGAGGCCGAGTGTTAGGCTCTTTCAAACAGCTTCGAGAAAACACCAATGTATGTTGGATATTATTTTGGTCAAATACTCTTAACGAATTGGAACACACAATGAGCAGGTAGATAAAGACGATATTTTGTTATTAATATTTTTAAGTTCACGTTGAAATTGGACGCTTTATTCCCACTGTATCTAAACGGGATAGGCCTATGTGTCTGTCCTCACAATGTATCTCAAAGGGATAGGCTATGCCTATTTTCACTGTATCAGAACGGGATAGGCTTGTGTATCTTTCCTCACAGTTTATCAGATCAGAACGGGATAGACCTATGTTTCTATATTCACAGTTTATCAGAGCAGGATAGGCCTGTATATCTCTCCTCGCAGTTAATCGGAGCGAGATGGTCGACAACACGTCCTTACAGGAATCTATCGCATTGTCTTGACGTCTGAGGTGGGCGTTACCTTTGTAATGTTTGCTATCATTAACGATATAATATTTTCGACATCATTTTATTTCATGGTGAAAGTTTCATCATAAGTGTCAAAACAAGAGCACGTTCATAACAAGGAAGGAGATGAACTGAAGAAGGGCCTCATTGTTCCCGCGAGTTAAATGCTGCTTGATAGGAGGTGCCTCATATATTATGGACCGTAGGTAGAAAGCGTTGCCTCTTGGGTTAGATGTGCAGGTTGGTTATGACAACAGGGAAATGGCTTGGGGGCCGTCAGCTTGGTTCAGTGCGCTCCCTTGGTGTATAGGTGCAGCCTGGTGGTGGTCCACGCTATTACGGCAGCTTCGAAAATGTTAGTCATGTGGTCCTGAGAGTTATGTCTGGGGCATGGTGAGTCCCAGAGCCTCGGCGTGCTTACGAGCCTTGAGTCTCAGCTCAGCTATGGAGGAGTTCTTGGATGAGACTCTCTCGGCCGCGGCGAGAGCAGAGAGGGCCAGAGGGTAGGTGGGGTGCGGGTAGTATAAGAGGGGAGGGGACGTCAGGGGGTTATTGCTGCTGCTACTGCTACTGCTGATGCTACTGCTACTTCCAGCGCCGCTGCTGCTACTGCTGCTGGTACTCGACACTCCCGTCATGCTCGCACTTAGCGAAACGGCAGCTGCGGCGTACTGTTGATAAAAGATTCGCGTTAGTTTCTTTCATACATTTAATGAGTTGTAATAACTAAACAAACCACCCATTCCCTCCACCGCCTCCCCCCCCCCCAAGAAAAAAATCAGAACTAAATTGGCATGAGTCCTATTACCTATGTTGTTGAATGTGACTAAGAACAAATTTTGTAATTCCTCATTTAACATAAGAATACAGGAAACTTCAGACAGCCTATTGGCTCATAGGAGGCAGCTCCTATGTATATTAACCCAACGCATTCATATATGTCTAATCTACGCTTGAAACAACATAGCGATTCTACGTATATTATTTTACGCTGTAATTTTTTCCTCAAATCAACAACCATGTTTTTAAAGTAGAATTTACCCCAGGGTTTTCCTGAACCTAAAGTTATCCATGTTATATTCCACTGGTCCGAAGTCACGCGACACTCACACTTATAAAGCCACACACACTGTCACGCTAACTAGTTCCCCTCAGAGTGCTTTAGCTAAGGCTGGATAACTGGCGGGGATCTGAAATGGTTCACCTCTGAAGCGAAGAGGTGAACCTAGAACCGGGGGGGGGGGGGGGGGGGAAGGGACGGGTCAGATTCACGAAGCAGTTAAGCAAGGCACTTACGAACGTGAACATTTGTCCTCAATCTTTGACGGCTTTGGTTACATTTATTAAACAGTTTACAAGCATGAAAACTTCCCAATTAATTGTTGTTATTGTTATAAATAGCCTCCTGGTGCTTCGGAACTCATTAACTGTTTAATAATTGTAAGCAAAGCCGCCAAAGATTGAAAAGAGATGTACTGGTTAGTAAGTGCTTGCGTAATTGCTTCGTGAATCGGGCCCCAGGTTGAGTATGACACAAAGAGAAAGGGATAGGCTATGCATATTCTCACTGTATCAGAACGGGATAGGCTTGTGTATCTATTAAGCCCAGACAGCTAGCTTCGTCCGTGTTGTTCTCATACCTCGAGAACAGGAGACGGTGCCAGCTATTCACCCAATCATCTAGTCAGTCATCCAGTCAGCTATCCTACCAGTCAGGGAACGGGTAGGGGGCATCGATGAGCATTAACACGCTTCCTTACTCCCCACAAAGGGGAACCATTGACAGCATATTTACCCATGCTAATCACTGACAGTATACTCACCCATGCTAACCACCAACCACATACTCATCCATGCTAACCATCAACCACATAGTCATCCATGCTAACCACATATCAAACAAAAGCTTGTTACCATATCAAGTATAAAAAGATAACCAATAATAATACGAGCACCTTCTTCGCACTTATCATTTCACTGCTCAAGTGTTCGGCAGAAACTCCTGAAGGAGGAGGAGGAGGAGCTGCCACAAAAACACCTGACGGGGTATGAGGGGGAGTGTTACCTGGTGGGCGGCGGAGAGCAGGGCGGGGTCGAGGGAGAGAGTTGGAAGGCCTGGCAGTCTGTCGTAGGGAGACGGGTGAAGGCGTAATGGGGAGACATAGGGCGCCACCCGACACGCCTCCAGGGGCACGCCCACGCTGCCGCCCCCGCCCAGACCCACGCCCGCCGAGGACATCACGCTCATGGGCGATGCAGCGCCAGATGTGGGGGAGAGCAACATCCCGGCTGCCGGGAAGAAAGACACACAAATACTCACTAATGACCCCGGCTGGAGAAAAATATTAATGACTGCGCTAGTGCAAACATTATTTCTGATTATATATTAATAATTACACCAATTACGATCTCACAACTTAATAACTAATTAAAAAAGGACTTAAAAGAACAGCGGCTCAAAATAGTCATATTATCTGTGACGCAAGAGAAGATATTAGTTTAACAGTGAAATAAATTAATGTTAAATATTAATTCATTAGCTTTCAATAGCCTCAGGTGATAAAACAATTATATTTTGCTCTAACGACATTCTCAAGCCTAATGTGTTATTATACACTGTATCTGTAAGAATGTTAACAGGCAGTGTGTTAATAATATATATGCATAAATAGGCAGTGTTTGTAACTACGTGAGCTGTTTCTAAGTATGATAGATGTCCATATTAAGTATGATAGATGTCCATATTGTCCTTGGTGTTTCTTAATATTAGCAGCTGATTACCGTACTAGGCGTTTTGAATTGTTTATGATGTTTGCAAATGTGTCAGGTATTTTCAACATGTGTTTGTAAAGTGCGATGGTTTTGCAATACGTAATAATTACAGAGAAGCAATAACGTCAGACACGAGTTGCATCTGCAGCTCTGCAGATCACGCAAGACGCTCCGTGCGTTTACAGCTTTAAGTCCTCAGTTTGATAAATTAACATCTTGGGAATTGTCCTCGACCTGCATTAATTGCATTATCCAATCCTTCAGCAGCACGACGACATCATCGTCGTGCATCACCTATTCATCACCATCCCTTCCCCCGTCGTCTTCACCTACACGACCCCCTGGACGTATAATACAGACTGACTCCATCTCTCTCTCTCTGAAGAAATCCACAAGGGCCGTGACGAGGATTCGAACCTACGTCTGAGAGCAACCCAGACGCTTCCTTAATCGAATGAGCTACGACTCTCTCTCACTCTGAAGTCCCAATCTCCCTCGATACTTGTTGCCACTCAGATTAAAATAGGAAAATATTGTAGGACGAGGCGCATCAAGTTAGGAGCATTATGTACACTGGCGGTTTGGTGTTGGGTTAGAGGCCTATCAACTTCTGAAGGGTTATTTAGACCAGCTCGATTATTAACTAACTAGCAAGAAAAATCCTAAATATAGTCCATTTTATCAACATATTAACATTTTGTAACATATATATATATATATATATATATATATATATATATATATATATATATATATATATATATAATATATATAATTTTGGAGAAGTGATTTTTGATTTACCTCCAACAGTGAAGCATAATGTACGAAAGATTGAGAAAATTCGTGTTAGAATTATCAATCTTACTTTTTCGGTCATATTTAATAAAATATGTCTACAGGAAAGACTGCTACCAAAATATACTAATATATATATATATATATATATATATATATATATATATATATATATATATATATATATATGTTATGCAGTTCTGACTAGCTATTTATTCTTGATGTATATATCTGAAATATTCGTCTTGGACGAGAGAAAAAGCAGTGTTGCGCGCACTCCCAGGTTCTGCAGGCCGGTGCGAGAAGGGCACAAAATGGCTTCTGAGGCGCGCTTGCGTCTCTCCCGTATCGGACTTAATCACTTAATTCCACCGAAACTTTCTTACTGGCGAATCCTCGGGCGAGTCATTCTCCTCCGGGCGATCACCGGCCGTTATAAAGAAAAAAAAAGGAGAGAAAAAAAAAAGAACAAGGTGTATTAATTTCCGCTCTTGCCCGGCCTGACAGCGCCATCCGCGCGCCCTTAATGCGAATAATTTTGATAATTTTGATAATTTTGCGCTCACGGCGCCATAAACTCGGGCTGAAAGTTTGGTAATTAGCTCAGTTGCCTGAATATGATTAGCCGGGATTTTGCAGACTTGCTCCGTTGTGTACATCCTGGTAATGACATTGTCTCGGCGGCGCCCGGCGCTAATTGGATTTGTACTTTATCGGATTAGCAGATTTTCAGATTCCTGGATTTGCATAATTTTGAATCCTCGAATGTCGGCGGGAAAATAAACGAAGGGCAATGTGTGCGTGTGTGTGTGTGTGCGTGTGCGTGTGTGTGTGTGTGTGTGTGTGTGTACTCACCTATTTGTTCTTGCGGGGGTTGAGCTCTGCTCTTTCGGCCCGCCTCTCAACTGTCAATCAATCAACTGTTACTAACTACTTGTTCTTCACACACACACACACACACACACACACACACACACACACACACACTAAGAAGCAGCCCGTAACAGCTGTCTAACTCCCAGGTACCTATTTACTGCTAGGTAACAGGGACATCAGGGTGAAAGAAACTGCCCATTTGTTTCTGCCGGCCCTGGGAATCGAACCCCGGTCCACATAACTACGTATCAAGCGTGCTGTCCACTCAGCCACCGGCCCCTACTTGTGTGTGTGTGTGTGTGTGTGTGTGGATGACAAGACGCGTAGCCAAGACGTGTACGTGACGAGGCCTAGACGTGCACGTGACGAGGCCAAGACGTGCACGTGACGAGGCCAAGACGTGCACGTGACGAGGCCAAGACGTGCACGTGACGAGGCCAAGACGTGCACGTGACGAGGCCAAGACGTGCACATGACGAGGCCAAGACGTGCACATGACGAGGCCAAGACGTGCACATGACGAGGCCAAGACGTGCACGTGACGAGACCAAGACGTGCACGTGACGAGGCCAAGACGTGCACGTGACGAGGCCAAGACGTGCACGTGACGAGGCCAAGACGTGCACGTGACGAGGCCTAGACGTGCACGTGACGAGGCCAAGACGTGCACGTGACGAGGCCAAGACGTGCACATGACGAGGCCAAGACGTGCACATGACGAGGCCAAGACGTGCACGTGACGAGACCAAGACGTGCACATAACGAGGCCAAGACGTGCACATAACGAGGCCAAGACGTGCACATAACGAGGCCAAGACGTGCACATAACGAGGCCAAGACGTGCACATAACGAGGCCAAGACGTGCACATAACGAGTCCAAGACGTGTGTGTGTGAGACACAATAATCAACAATGACAGGAAGATTAGAACTACCAAGGGATGATTTCCGAAGACTAATTCAAGACCGTCTCCTGACGGTGACGGGTCTTGGGGTTACAGTGCTGTACCCGCAGAGGTGAGCAGCCGCGTCCAACAGCCTGGTTGATCAGTCCAGCAACCAGGAGGCCTGGTCGACGACCGGGCCGCGGGGACACTAAGCCCCGGAAGCACCTCAAGGTAACCTCAAGGTAAGGAGGTCACGCCACCATGCATGCAAGCCTTGCAACGGCCAAGATGGAGCGTGAACCTTAGTGGAGCCCCGACAAGACCTCCAGTGGAACCAGACACGAATTCCAGTGGAACCAGACACGAATTCCAGTGGAATCAGACATGAATTCCAGTGGAACCAGACATGAATTCCAGTGGAACCAGACACGAATTCCAGTGGAATCAGACATGAATTCCAGTGGAACCAGACATGAATTCCAGTGGAACCAGACATGAATTCCAGTGGAACCAGACATGAATTCCAGTGGAACCAGACATGAACTGCAGTGGAACCAGACATGAATTCCAGTGGAACCAGACATGAATTCCAGTGGAACCAGACATGAACTGCAGTGGAACCAGACATGAACTCCAGTGGAACCAGACAATGGCTCCATTGGAACCCGACCTGTGCCAATATCACGCCTTTTCAGCCATAGTATTGAAAAAACAATTATAACACACGCTCTTATGGGTACCTTGGCAATGATAGTGATTGTTTCAGTTAGTGATGGTGAGTGATTGTTTCAGTTAGTGATGGTGATGTTTGTTGCTGGTGATGGTGTGGTACTTGTTGGCAGTGGTGTAATGGTTAGTGTGGTTGTTGATTGTAGTGATGGTGATCTAGTTGTTGATGGTGGTAGTGAGTGATTGTGATGGAGAGAGGAGTATGGGGGGCGTCAGCCAGCCCGTCCTTTTAAAGTGTCCCAAACGTCAAGAAAACGGTCAATTTTCAGTGTCCTTATCCTAACCTAACCAGAGGACCCAAAACAGAAAACGGGACAGTTACGTCACTTTAGCCAGCCGCTTCCATTTTCTAGTACGATATCGTACTAGAAAATGGAAGCGGCTGGCGAAAGTGACATACTGTCCAGTTTTCTGTTTTGCGTCCTCTGGTAGGTTAGAGGACGTTTTGCGTCGTCTGGTAGGTTAGAGGACGCAATTATGTGGCCTTGTTGCGTCCTCTGGTAGGTTAGATGACGTTTTGCGTCATCTGGTAGGTTAGAGGACGCAATTATGTGGCCTTGTTGCGTCCTCTGGTAGGTTAGAGGACGTTTTGCGTCATCTGGTAGGTTAGATGACGTTTTGCGTCGTCTGGTAGGTTAGAGGACGCAATTATGTGGCCTGGTTGCGTCGTCTGGTAGGTTAGAGGACGTTATTATGTGGCCTGGTTGCGTCATCTGGTAGGTTAGAGGACGTTATTATGTGGCCTGGTTGCGTCGTCTGGTAGGTTAGAGGACGTTATTATGTGGCCTGGTTGCGTCATCTGGTAGGTTAGAGGACGTTATTATGTGGCCTGGTTGCGTCGTCTGGTAGGTTAGAGGACGTTATTATGTGGCCTGGTTGCGTCATCTGGTAGGTTAGAGGACGTTATTATGTGGCCTTGTTGCGTCCTCTGGTAGGTTAGAGGACGTTATTATGTGGCCTGGTTGCGTCATCTGGTAGGTTAGAGGACGTTATTATGTGGCCTTGTTGCGTCATCTGGTAGGTTAGAGGACGTTATTATGTGGCCTTGTTGCGTCCTCTGGTAGGTTAGAGGACGTTATTATGTGGCCTGGTTGCGTCGTCTGGTAGGTTAGAGGACGTTATTATGTGGCCTGGTTGCGTCGTCTGGTAGGTTAGAGGACGTTATTATGTGGCCTGGTTGCGTCATCTGGTAGGTTAGAGGACGTTATTATGTGGCCTTGTTGCGTCATCTGGTAGGTTAGAGGACGTTATTATGTGGCCTTGTTGCGTCCTCTGGTAGGTTAGAGGACGTTATTATGTGGCCTGGTTGCGTCGTCTGGTAGGTTAGAGGACGTTATTATGTGGCCTTGTTGCGTCCTCTGGTAGGTTAGAGGACGTTATTATGTGGCCTGGTTGCGTCGTCTGGTAGGTTAGAGGACGTTATTATGTGGCCTGGTTGCGTCGTCTGGTAGGTTAGAGGACGTTATTATGTGGCCTTGTTGCGTCCTCTGGTAGGTTAGAGGACGTTATTATGTGGCCTGGTTGCGTCGTCTGGTAGGTTAGAGGACGTTATTATGTGGCCTGGTTGCGTCGTCTGGTAGGTTAGAGGACGTAATTATGTGGCCTTGTTGCGTCGTCTGGTAGGTTAGAGGACGTTATTATGTGGCCTTGTTGCGTCGTCTGGTAGGTTAGAGGACGTTATTATGTGGCCTTGTTGCGTCGTCTGGTAGGTTAGAGGACGTTATTATGTGGCCTTGTTGCGTCGTCTGGTAGGTTAGAGGACGTTATTATGTGGCCTTGTTGCGTCGTCTGGTAGGTTAGAGGACGTTATTATGTGGCCTTGTTGCGTCGTCTGGTAGGTTAGAGGACGTTATTATGTGGCCTTGTTGCGTCGTCTGGTAGGTTAGAGGACGTTATTATGTGGCCTTGTTGCGTCGTCTGGTAGGTTAGAGGACGTTATTATGTGGCCTTGTTGCGTCGTCTGGTAGGTTAGAGGACGTTATTATGTGGCCTTGTTGCGTCGTCTGGTAGGTTAGAGGACGTTATTATGTGGCCTTGTTGCGTCGTCTGGTAGGTTAGAGGACGTTATTATGTGGCCTTGTTGCGTCGTCTGGTAGGTTAGAGGACGTTATTATGTGGCCTTGTTGCGTCGTCTGGTAGGTTAGAGGACGTTATTATGTGGCCTTGTTGCGTCGTCTGGTAGGTTAGAGGACGTTATTATGTGGCCTTGTTGCGTCGTCTGGTAGGTTAGAGGACGTTATTATGTGGCCTGGTTGCATAAGACCACATAATGTTTGGCCTTATGCAACACCTACGAGCGAAAAGCGACGTTCTTCGTAGGAAGACAGGTTCAGCACCACTGAACTACTACCACCACTACCAGCACCTTTACCACTACCAGCAGCACCACCACTAGCAGCACCTCTACCACTACCAGCACCTCTACCACCACTACCAGCAGCACCACCACTAGCAGCACCTCTACCACTACCAGCACCTCTACCACCACTAGCAGCACCACCACCACTAGCACCACATTAACACCACCACTAGCACAGAGGCAGCAGGCAGGCAGGCAGTCTCTGCTAGCCTCGTCCACAACCGGTCGAGATAATTGCTGTTAATGTGACGAGAAAAACGAGACGAAGCCAGCAGAGCGAGTGATTACACGGTAATAATAAGAACCATTATGGAAATATGTCAGAGTGTTAGTTGCTGGTAATGACAAAAGTTTCCCGTTGTCAACACACCTAATTCTGAATCATGGGAATTAAACGGGGTTCATATTTAAGATGAGAGACAGGCGGGGGGCGAGACTTGCAATAAACGAGAAAGGAATATAATGAGCCATTAAAAACTTTTGATGCTGACGCAGTGGAAAAAGAACGCGTAATTGGCTTGCAGATAAAAGCAAAAATTGTCTTAGATTCATATTACTGCGAGTTGACTGTTTATATTGCGAAAAAGAGCTCAATGTTTGCGTTCCTTGACGATAAGTGAGCTTACATTAATACATTAAACATTACTGACCCGAACTTTTCCCTTGTTAACTTAGAAAATGGAGCGAAAATAGATGAAACTAAGTCATAACTGAAAGGAAAATTTCGCGCCAAACTCGAACGACGGCCCCCTCCCCCCCCCCCCCCCCCCCCCCCACCTAACTCCGGTAAATAAATCACAGGCATCAGCACAGCCGAGAAATCCAATCCCCAGCAATAACAATAAAATTAAAACTCTTCGCTCGGTCCATAATAGCGTTCGGGGCCTGTCAGTTGATTTAGAAAGTTTTCAAATCGTAAAATTAGGGGAGTGAGACACATAACTCGATCAGTCGCCGACAAATCAGGGGGGGCTGTGAAAAATTTACCATCTCTCACTGGTGTGCTTGGACGCTAACTTTCCGCCGTCATTCCGTTAATTCAATTTTTATGGCCATGTCAAAACGCACTAAGAAACTCTTGTCTTTTTCAGGCTTGTTCATCTCCCTTTGTTCCGATGAGTTAAACTAACGTTTTTCCCCTTGTCTTAAGACATTTCTGGGAGGGATTTTATATACACATTGCTTTTGTCTGGGAGCCAAGAAAGGTTCTTCACCCACATGACTCTGCAAGGCTGTTTGAACGTCACGGAAAGCTAAAAATAAATTTGAAAACGAAACAAAATATGTCTTTCTGGATCCTCGGAGGAGCAGCTAATCCAATCCGCCACGCGGTTCTTGTTAACACAAGCTCTAATTTGTCCTAACCTGAGCGTAAGGAACGGCAACTAAAGAATTAGGGTAGTGAACCCTAATTGGGAGTCACCCTGAAGTATTAGGGTAGTGAACCTTTGGGAGTCACCCTGAAGTATTAGGGTAGTGAACCTTTGGGAGTCACCCTAAAGTAGCAGGGTAGTGAACCTTTGGGAGTCTCCCTGAAGTATTAGGGAAGTGAACCTTTGGGAGTCACCCTGAAGTATTAGGGTAGTGAACCTTTGGGAGTCACCCTAAAGTAGCAGGGTAGTGAACCTTTGGGAGTCTCCCTGAAGTATTAGGGAAGTGAACCTTTGGGAATCTCCCTGAAGTATTAGGGAAGTGAACCTTTGGGAGTCACCCTGAAGTATTAGGGTAGTGAACCCTAATTGGGAGTCTCCCTGAAGTATTAGGGAAGTGAACCTTTGGGAGTCACCCTGAAGTAGCAGGGTAGTGAACCCTAATTGGGAGTCACCCTGAAGTATTAGGGTAGTGAACCTTTGGGAGTCACCCTAAAGTAGCAGAACAGTAAACAATCACATCTCTCTAAAACAATAGGACTGAGTCCTGAATCGTGTTAACTTGAAGAACAACTAATGCAAGATTCAGTTGTACCCAGCCCATAGTGCGCTCCGAAGCAAGTTACATATAAATGATCTATAAGTGAAGATACCAACATAACTGTGTTAAAGAGCGCTACAGATAACACAACAAAACACATTAGAAGGCAAAGGCAAAAAGAGACGCAGGCAGACACAGACAAAGAGACAGACAGAAACGCAGACAGACACGGACAGACAAACAGACAGACATGGACTCCAAACATATACATAAACTCTATGGTGTTTTAACTCGCAAAAAAATTCAACTCTCCGTAAAAAAAAACTCCCATTTAAGCCCTCAATCATGTTTCGCAGTTCGATGATTTTGTGTCTTTTTTTTTCCGAATCGAGTCACATTATAGGAGGCCAGCTTATATCACGTTAGTGTCGTTAGTTATTCATGTCCCGTCCCATAGTTATTCATGTCCCGTCCCATAGTTATTCATGTCCTGTCCCACGACCCAGGTCCCATCCCAGAGCCCCGGGTCCTGTCTTGGGGCACAGACTATATACCGTCCCATGACAGGCTACCAGGTCTGCCCGAAACGCTTTGCGTAATAGTGGCTTTAGGCATTGTATGTACTAGCTCTATCTATTAACCCAACAAACTTTGTAAAATCTCTTTATGTATGTACCTTACCTAAATAAAAATTATTATTATTATTATACCACGACGATGTCCTGCCCCCCCCCTCTCCACCCATCCCCGTCTCTCCCTCCAACACTGTTCTGTCTCTCACACTCTGTCTCTCACACTCTGTCTCTCACACACTGTCTCTCGCTTCAGCTGCCACGCAGCTGCTGTTCTCTCTGTGGGGGGGACAAGGAAAACTACTCACCTTTGTGCATCTGACTTTCGTGCTTGCGACACTTGGCTCGCCGGTTCTGGAACCACACCTGTGGGGGGAGGAGGACACACTGCTTAGATCTCCAAGATGGTTACATGTTACTGCAGTTAAGTTTCAAACTGGAAGACGCTTACCTTGGAACATATAAACACTAGAGAGAGAGATATAGGGGAAAAATGCTTTAATTAACTCAAGTTGTAGAAGAGTTTAACCCTCCGATGATAATAATAATAATAATAATAATAATCACATTAACGTGTGATAGACCAATGAGAAAGTCCACTGAGACTGTAAGTACCAGTACCAGCAGTAAAATAGGTACCTGGGTGTTAGTCAGCTGTCACGGGCTGCTTCCTGGGGGTGGAGGCCTGGTCGAGGACCGGGCCGCGGGGACACTAAAAAGCCCCGAAATCATCTCAAGATAACCTCTCAAGATAACTAGCCCGCCCTCCTAAGATTTCCCCCCCCCCCCAACGTCAAGAAACTGTCGTAGTAAAGTGCCCCCTTATCCTACCAGAGGACCCAAAACAGAAAACGGGACAGTAGGTCAATTTCGCGAGCCGCTACCATTTTTCTAGTACGACGATTTTTGGCCTTAGAGTATACGTCAAAAATGCGACGTGCTATAGGAGGACGGGTTGGTTACACAGCACAGACACAGAGATACACTTAGGTCATAGAACACCCTTTAGTCTGGTGTTGACGCCTGTCAACCAGCAAGTATACTGTAGTAGGGAAGATTGTTCAAGACTAAAGTAAACTGTATACACCGAGAAGCAGGAGTATACCTGTCGCTGTATAAGCTCCTCGGTATATATACCCATTGGGGGGAAACTTTACATAGGGGAAAATATAACATTCTTTAAATAAAATGAAAAATATTTGCTCATGAAGCAAGATACAATCAGATACTAAGGACAGGAAGCCTGTACTTAGGCCTATCCATGTTCCCCCCCCCCCCAGGGCAACAACTGACCCTCCCCGGGATACAACCCACAACAGTTGCCTATAACTCCCTTACACATATTTTACTGCTAAGTGAACAGAGGCACCAGATGAAAGGGGGAAAGATGCCCAACCGTTTCTGTCCTGCCAGGGGGATTGAACCTGGGTCTGTCGGTTGTGAGCCGAGGACGTAGAGTACTGCTGTACAGTGTACACTCCGAGATGTCATTATTGCGTCAGGGAGCCGGGCACGAAGAGCTAGAGCTCACTCCTCCCCGTAATCACTGTTAGGTAAGCACATCCAAGCGAACAAACACACCAACAGAAGTTATCAATCATAAATTAAAACAACAAATAATTAATACAAATAATAAAAAATGGGAAATATCAAATTAAGAACAAATTAAGAACATAAGAACAAAGGTAACTGGAGAAGGCCTATTGGCCCATACGAGGCAGCTCCTATCTATAACCACCCAATAAGAACAAATTAAGAACATAAGAACAAAGGTAACTGCAGAAGGCCTATAAATGTTAAGACATGTATTACAAGAACAACACAGAGGTGAAGAGTGAGCGAGGGAACACGCGCTGGTTGACTGCCACCGCCACTCGTCCCAAGGACAACATCACCCACCCTCAAATGACCCGAATTGGACAACCTTCGAGGCCTGAGAATGAAGAGCTTTACGAGAGGGTGGCGGGCTAGGCGGCGGGAGGGGGGACGGGTAGGGATTGAGAGAAGAGGATGGGGGCTAGGAGCAAGGGGAGAGAGAGAGAGAGAGGAGAAAGAGGAGGAGGAGTAGTTTAGATATGAGGATCAGGACTGAGAACTCGAGGAGTTTAGGTGAAGAAAGAAAGTGTTTGGAAGCTGGTGCTTGAGTAAGGTTGGTGGTAGAGCCAGAGGAGCCGGTCGGCCGAGCGGACAGCACACTGGACTTGTGATCCTGTGGTCCTGGGTTCGATCCCGGGCGCCGGCGAGAAACAATGGGTAGAGTTTCTTTCACCCTATGCCCCTGTTACCTAGCAGTAAAATAGGTACCTAGGTGTTAGTCAGCTGTCACGGGCTGCTTCCTGGGGGTGGAGGCCTGGTCGAGGACCGGGCCGCGGGGACACTAAAGCCCCGAAATCATCTCAAGATAACCTCAAGATAGGGGTGGCCCTTGAGGGCTAGGGCAGACATGTGCTCCAGCCCTCAAGGAATGTACTTAGCAATGTGTGAACAATGATGTTAGCAGCGCGTTGTATGCACATAATCATTCCTATGCCGACGTTACGGCATTTGTACGACTTGTGGTGACCAAGTTATGGGATTGTTTAGCAAACATTATTAACAGTATTATGACACATCAGGAGCCACTTCTCGTGAACTTCCGGGATCTTAAGCTGTTTACCAGTGAAGAGAAGACGACCCTTCTCAGTGAAGACGAAGAAGAGTCTAGACCATCTTGTCTATAATCTGCTGACCCCCTGGCCTCAGACCACCCCTTCCCACCCCCCCCCCTTGACCTCAAGCTTCATCTCCCCCCCCCCCTTGACCTCACCCCCACCCATTTTTGTCCTCACATGAGCACTCGTTGTGGATTTGTTACATTTCATAAAGGATTTATAATATAAAACATAATAAATATGTAAAATACCCCACTCAAATCACGCCATACTGGACTAAAATATTAGAGCGGGAATCATAGCTTCCCCCTTTGCCCCTAGCAATCCACCCGGTGGCCCCTAGCAATCCCCCCGGTGGCCCCTAGCACGATAGGGGGGTCAGTCACAATATATCCATCGAGAGCAACATATATCCGCCCCCACCTGTCCTATTTTATCCTAGCAGGTAAAAAAAAAACTAAACTCAGTTACCCGAATAAAGTTTATAGCCGACGAGTCCCAAGTTGGCGTTGTAGGAAGGTTTTTATGCCTATTCCAGGAGGCTCTTGGGCGGGTGGTCCCGGGACGTCCCGGTGGCTGTGGGCTGGGATGAAGTTGGGATAGATATAGTGGCGAGAGACGACAGAACGAAGGGCCATAGGTAGAAAGTGCCAACCGTACATGTGTGTCTCACGTACATGCAATGACCCCGAGCAGCTAGAGGGGGTGGTGGAAGCCACCTCCATTCACACACCTTCAGGAACATGTATGGCGGAGTACTGGAACGCCGGGAAGGTATTGATGCGCCACTTGGGGAAGAACCATGTAACCACACACACACACACACACACACACACACACACGCACGCGCGCGCGCGCGGGGGTGAGGGAAGGTTAGGGGAGGGGAGACCGATGGTGGATGTGAACGGGAGATGAAGATGAGGGGAAAGGGAGGGGAAGGGGTTGGGGGGGTTGGCTTGGGTTAAACTAATTATGAAGGTTTGCCGGTAAGGCTGGTCGGTGGGGCTGGTCGGTGGGTCTGGTCGGTGGGTCTGGTCGGTGGAGCTGGTCGGTGGGGCTGGTCGGTGGGGCTGGTCGGTGGGTCTGGTCGGTGGGGCTGGTCGGTGGGTCTGGTCGGTGGGTCTGGTCGGTGGGGCTGGTCGGTGGGTCTGGTCGGTGGGTCTGGTCGGTGAGAGACTACTATAACTTGTTAGATTCCTTCTTTCAAGAGGGAGTGGGGGGTCTGGGAGAGGGGAAAGGGAGGGACGGGTAAATGAAAGAGGGAAGGGGAGACATCGAGAAAGAGAAGGGTTGGAAAATGAAGAGCGAAGAGAGAGGGGGAACTCCAAAGACAACCCCCTAAATCAACATCTTTCAAGAAGTAAGTCATTCCAGTCAATTTCTCGAAGAACTTTTCCCAAAGAAATGTAATTTCCAATAAGTGTTTTTTAAACTAAAAAGTTAAAACTTGGATTTTCGTTGAGGGCATCTGTCTCTCCCCCCCCCAGGGTGGCACTCTGGTGGCACTCTGGTGGCAAGCCCACAACCTCACCTCACCCACACCACGGGTGCCTCAGCCCACAGCCTCACCCATCCACTCAACATCCACACTACCGGTGTCTTAGCCATAGGTTCTCATGGGCCATTTTCTATGCATACTGTTCCCTAAGGCACGTGTTTCCGGCACCATACCATCTTGTTCGATGCTCCCAGAAGTTAACACAATCACGGACAACACATATAATTACCGTAGAACCCCCTTACATCACGCAGAACCGAAGAGAAAAATCATAATTTCATTTAACTGAATAGTTCTCCCCATACCGGCTGAATTCACAGCCAACAGAACGACAAAGCATCCACTTCTACAACGTGTTACCTCGTGACCATTGCCTTCACGACCGAGGGCGCCACAAAGAATCCAATTTTGTTTTTATTGCGGAGTTCCCCCTCGTCGGCTGAGCGGCGGGAGGAAAAGAAAACGGGATTGGGCGGGAAGTCACGTCTGGGCGTCATAACAGGTAGTGGAGGAGGCCAGCCTGAGTAACTTGTCAGGAGGCAAATGGCGACGTCAAGCCCACACGATTGGGACGAATGGCCCGCCAGGCTTGAACAGATTGTCTCCGTCAGGAAAAGGACGAAGGAGGAGGAGGAGGAGCAGCAGGGCGGCCTGCTGGAGAATATGATGATGGAAAACACGTAAAATGAAGAGAACGCCCAATTGAGGAAGTAATATGGAAAGAAAAAGCGGAAGAGGGGAAAATAGGACAGGGATCCAGATGACGGGTGACGGGTGGGGACACGTATAGACGGAGGAGAGGGACAGGACCCCCCACCAGGGGTGAGGGGTGACGGGCAGGCAAGAACGAGGAGGAGGGAACAGAGAATTCAGAATGAATGAGATCAGGGAGATGGAATATAATAAGGAGGTGGCAGCCTAGTGAACGATGTACACAAGAATGGAGAGTGCGCTACGGAGATGAAGCAGAGGAGCGGGAAATGCAGCAAAAACGGAGAGAAATGAAGGAAAATAAGGAAGAGATGGAGGAGGAAGAGGAATAAAGAGGACACCGATATGAAAGGCAGTAAGAATACAGGTAGAATGCAAACCGAGAAAGAAAACGGGGGGCCAGACACAGCGAGGAGAACACTGAACAGCGAGGGGGAACACTGAACAGCGAGAACACCGAGACAGGCGGTCAACAGGGAAACATTCAGTATATGATCCATATACAG